TTATTCATTTTAGGAAAATATAAAAAGAAATACTGACTGAATAGTGGATGGTGCAGATCACGATATAAATTACCGTTTTTGAACTAATTGTAATGTTCACTATTCTGTGTGTGTTTTTCTAAACTGATTGGCAGTTATTATTATGAATCTTTCTTCGTGTTTTGTTTGTTGCTGTACCAGAAATGCATTTATTATAACTGTGTATTCAACCTATATTTCTAAAAATATATCATGCTTAATTGGTGCTTTGTTTAAGATTTTGCTAATTTTGAAAGTAAAGTTATTGTGCTGAAAACATGAAAGAATGTGTTGTTGGTGTTACTGTTACAATTATTGTTAATTATAATGAAAATTTCACTCACTTACTTTTGGATCTATGTTTGAAACAATTGTTGAGTTTTTGATGTCAAGATATAGCATATGATCTAATGTACCCGTAATTAAAAAATAGAATCATAAAAAGGGGGTTCGGTTAACAATGATGTTAAAATGATATTATGCCCATTCAAGGGTATATAGTGAGTGAACAGGCAAGGGTCAAAATAAGCTTTTTTTATTTCCATGTTCCCTTTTAATTTAATAATTAACTTGGTGTAAACAATAAATAACCCCGGATCCAAACATAATTTCTGTAAAGATCAATAAGAATTTACCTGTAACGTTACAGTTTATAAAAAGAGTGGGGCAGTCTTTTTAGATTTTAAGCAGATTTTAAATTTTATCCTAAGCATTTTCCAATATAAACTGTTAGTCGAACACCATTTTAACAGTCAATCTTTTGAAATAAAAAGGAAATTCAGGTCATCTTGACCATGAAAATATGAGCATAATGTCTGGCGTAAAAAGATAATTATTTTATTCATAATGTAAAACATATTGTCGCTCATTTATCCTACAGTGCCTTTGTACCGTTAACTTGTATGTGACAGTCATGGCGTATATACTGCATATCAATTTCACAAACACTTTTTAATTAATCTGTTTATTCATTAAAACGCATGCATTTATGCATTTTTATAACACTTATTGAGTTTTAAATATGAAATTACATATTTATGAAACCGTGTTCTTAATGTAGTAATCTTATGGTTTTTAATGTATTAATTTACAAATATCATAAGACTGCTGTGCGGTCTTAGAGACCTATAACTAGCCCTATCCCGTTTATGATAAATATATTTTGAACATTTCAATGCTTTGATATCTATGTAGATAAAAGGTTGTTAACGTTGGTATTTTAGGTTTATGTAAAAAAGTGTTATCATTTAAATTATATTAATACTAACATAACCGGTGAATACCACGCCATATTCAATGGCTCATGACTCAATATTTGTTTAATACTGCACTTTTATTACGTTGTTTGTCACTGGATAATCGTGGAGTTTTATAACTCATATACACGCCTGTTAAAAATCATTGATTTATTATTCTTTTTAATCAATCAAACCTAAAATCAAATAAATCAATTGTACAGGAATATTGATTTATTATAACGTCTTCTGACAGCTTATATAGAGGTTCTGGTTATATAAACGTATAACAATGCCAACAGTGCTTTGATTTTGTATTGATTTTTTATTGATTTTTTCTAATTATAATTAATTGTAGTATGGTATGTATTTCTCTCTTAACTAAATATATATTGTGTTATACTGAACGTCTCGTTTTTATTCTTTCACTTCTTAGAGGGTAAATAATACCTGAAGAAGATCATAACCTAAGATAATTATTCAACAGCCCCATAACTCACATCCATACCTACAACCAGTTTTATGATTGTCTAATTCTGCATGAATATTCAAATTTATATACATGCATATAACATAATATATTTTAGAATCTTTAAAAAACAAGACTAATGATTACGTCTTGATTTGTCAATAATGTATTGAAGCATCCCCACCAAAGAAGAAATCGTTATGAATACATAACATTTACGCTTTGATGATACCAATCAATATAAATAAATTCATTACGACTTTAAAGCAATAATTAATGAGTATACTAATTACGTTAAATTAAATATATATGAGTCGATTTACGCCAATTGCGAAAATGAAGAAATTACACACTTAAGCTTGTGAAGCGCAGTCATGATTTATCACAGACACAAAATTTGTTAAACTTTTTCCTGTGAACGTTATGACAAAAAATAAAACTGATCTACTATGGAGAATAGAAAAAATCAAGGGCAACAACTCTGGTTGCATTTTGTTACTTAATGGAACAACTCTGTCCATAAATACATGCCACTCCTGAAAACTTTATCTAGCTGCTAAATTTAAGCTCGTAAAAATTAACATGCAACCGAATCAAACGGAATCATACGGACATCATCGAATATTCGACTTGTAAAGAAATAATGCTTAAAATATCGACAGAAGTTGTTTTTCTTTCATAAAGAGTCTTTTTCTTGAACACGTGTTACAGTTTAATCACTGTTTGGCACTTGAAGTCCAAAATTAAAATGTTTCAGGTTCCGACTTTGGTTCTGGAAATAATTTTGTTGAAAATAATAAATAAAATGGTATTTTGAAAGGGGATCAGAGGTTATGAAGCCTGCATATCACAGATATGACGTCAAAAGACAAATTTAAAAAGCAGGTCACATAACCTAAGGGTGATTCAACAGTATTCAAGTGAGAAATTCTGTAACCACCAAGCAAAAAAATAGCCGAATAGAATGTACTTAAATACCACAAGCACACAATAATGTCGTGCTCAACGATCTTTAAGGATCTTTAAGGATTAAACCTTTTAACCTTTTTCCTAAATGTAATTTGGTGCAAGGCCTGAATAAACCATATTTTTAATGTCCCCGAAATATAACAATAATCGTTTTCATTGAATTATATTTAAATCCATCATTTAGCATGCCATTAAAACAAATGCTGATCAAACGGCGGTTAGCGTAATACTGGCATAAGAATTTTTTTTGTCTGTGGTCATCCAACCGATCAGGAACACCCACTTTACTTCTGATTGGCTCTTACGTTTTGGGGTTTACAATAAGAAAAACCAAAAATCAGTCATTTACATGTACCGTAAAAAGTAACCGAGGTTCCGCGTGGGTAATTAAATCTATTATGATTTAAATTTCATGTCTAATCAAAATTTTTATTTATGTTTATCATGCGATAAAACAGTTAAAGTATATCGAACTCGACTGTTATGTGGAAATTTCATGGTCTTGGGCGACATATGGGGTTTATATATATATATATTTACTTGTATCATAATTTGAGAACCTTTCTGTTAAAAATGTGTCAGATTTAATCCGTATACATATGTTAACTGGAGTGCAGGTATTAGTTACCCACACTCCAGAGCATGCCCATTGATTGGCTCATTTGTTACTTGGGTTTACTTATTGTGACGGCAGAGAAAGGGAAAGCAATAGAAATGGCAATCTGATTAATACGAGGCTATCTGATTAATACTCCCCTGGTTACGCCCCCTCGTACAAATCAGATAGCCTCGTGTTTTGATGCTCTTTCTATTAATTGTATCATAGTTTGGGGACCTTTCTGTTGAAAAAGTGTCAGAGTTAAATCGTATACATATACATGCACAGTGCGGTAACTGGAGTGCAGGTATCAGTTACCCGCACTCCAGATAATGCCCGTGGATTGGTTCATTTTTGCCGGGGTTTACATATTTTGACGGCAGAGAAAGGGAAAGGGGCAGAACTATCATATTCAAATGCTCGTTTATTGGTTATTTTTTTCCGGGGTTTAATATTATGACAACAGGGAACGTGCTGTCATGTTTGACTATGATACAAAATAGAAAGAACACCAAAACACTCGGCAATCTGATTAATACTCGGGGGTTACGCCCCCTCGTACAAATCAGATAGCCTCGTGTTTTGATGCTCTTTCTATTACTTATTTTTTAAATTTATTTATTTATTTTATTTTATTTAATTAAATTTTTAGAATTGAGATACATTTTCTTTTTATAAGCCTTTAAGGCTGGCCATAAAAAAAGCGTCGAAGGAATCGGTCGGTTCATATGAATCTATCTCACCTTTTTTCTGACCCTTAGGTTTCAAATCTGATGCTATCCCTATTGAGCTATGCTTGCCGGGTTTGTATTTGTATATAATTATGATGATAATGAATAGGCTGTTCCTGATAAATAGAGAAATGATCAAAACGATGATATTTAAGATAATAATAAACATGAATGTAATGATGATGATGATGATAAGAATGATAACGATGATTGTGATGATGATGTTTTATGATGATGAATATAATGATGGACGAATATGATGATGATGATGATGATGATGATGGACATGGTGATGATAAATGTGATGATGATGATGATGATGGTGAACATGATGACGACGACGACGATGATGATGATGATGATGATGATGATGATGATGATGATGATGATGATGATGAACATGATGATGATGCTGAAAATGATGATGTCTGAGGTACAAAATGTAAACAAAATATAACATAACAACATTAGATATGAATATTAATTCACCAATCTCTATAAATATTTATGCTTTTAGATTCATAATAATGAACAAAGTGACGTCATTTTGACCTCGTATATACAGTTGGTTTATATAATACCTGCTGCTCTGTTAGCTATTCTAATATGGAACACATAATATAATCGCTTTTGTTGAATACAGAAAAAGTATTGTTCGGTGCAAAAAAGTGGCCCATGGTTGTTAAAATTAATACAAAATGAACACAATGATGTATTTTTAAACACTATTTTAAAATTTATGAAAAGAAACCCGCAGTATTGTAGTAATTGTGTTGGTTGAAGATTATTAAACGATTGTGAAGGTAATGTAAATAAGAGTCCGGTTTCTCTGTTCGCGCATTGTTAACAATTTGATGGTGAAACGTTTTCTTATTATTCGAAACTAAACTTTTTTTAAAGTGACAGTTCAATAAATCTATTTTAGCCTCTTTTTAATTTCACAATTCTTTGGTACATTGAATAAGGATTTTTATGAACATCAAAAATATAATCGCTTTTATAGAGATGTTTAAGTGCGATCGAATCGATTACTTACAAGTTTATTCTATAGATAATGATCAAAAGTACACTATAATTCGGCTGTCCATAAATTCGGATATTTAAGCATTTAAAATAGCACGAATAATATTAATATCAGGTTTAAAGCTTTTGATTCTCTATTCTGCGTGTCTTAAAGTCAAATCAAATTTAAATTATAGATGGTATAGGAACGATAATACATGCAATTGATAATAAATATTAATGTAAAATAAAAAGGATGATTGCGGAGTAATGTCCGAGTTTTGGAAATTAACAAAATTTAGCTCAGTGAACTGATTATGGAAATGTCGGATGTTATAAGATATTATATAAGATTGTTGAACATTCACTTTATTCTCTGGACTCTATCGGAATGTGCGGTAAGTCAGTACTTCACTTAATTATTTGGAAAACAATTTTTTTTATAATATATCTTAAGCCATTACTTCGCTCAGTTACAGATAAATTTAATATGAATTTATTTTATTTATAATTTGCATTAAGTCAGTACTTCACACAATTACAGATTGATACAATTTGAAATATTTTTATGTATTATATGAACCAATTCCTTAAACGTTTTTTTAAAAGGCTAGCCCTAAAAGTTTATAAAAAAATGTCAATCTCAATTTTAAAAAATAAAATAAATAAGATAAAATAAATAAATATAAATGAATAAATAAATAAATAAAGATAAATAAATGATAAGTAATTATATACATATATAGATATGTAAATAAAAAAAATAAATAAATAGATAAATAAATGAATAAATAAACAAAATAAATAAATAAATTAACAAAATAAATGAATGAATAAATAAATAAATATCTTATGTTTCGTCATATTATCTTAAGGCCCCAGTGATTAATAATGTGGTGAAAACGGCAAGTTTGTTAGAGTCAACGACTGTGGAGACATTGGTATTCACGTTAGATGTAACCGACGCCGACGGAGATACCATCGTATGTGATTTCGGCCCCGGCGGCAACCTTGGAAATAGATTTACAGTAAAGTACATCTCCGGATCGACAAGTAAGTCTTATCAAGCTTCGTGTGTTTCCCTTTTTAATATTTTTCACAACTTTATTTCAACCAGTTGAAAAGAACTAGGTATTATTTTTCCATTCAGTCCCGTACTGAATCCGGACAAATTAACGCTATTCCTCACAAGTTGAAATTCTGTTAAAGCACAATACTTGTTTAATCGAAATGTACATTTTGTAAATAGACCAATAAAGTAGCGCAATCTAAAAAATTCATAGGATACTCATATATGTTATTTATAAATAATAGAAAATCATAAAAAATCAAGGATTTCTTTCTTATTTTATAGCTTGGGGTATATATAGTGCTGCGGGTTCAGTTTTCGATTCTAACAGCCAGCCTACCTACAATTTGGGCGTGAAATGTGACGCCAATGGTGAATCCGATACGGAAACTTTCACCGTGTCCATTACAGCAAATCAGGCACCTGTTATAAATAACTTACCAAGTAAGCCATACTGTTTAAGTACCTTGCATAAAAAATGAGCAAACAGCGTCTGCTATTTCATTTTAATATTGTAGTTTAAAATTCATTTCAATGTACGTATACAAAGATATTCCCGCGTGTACAAGACTTGATTAGTTTATTTAGAATAATGTTTAAGAAGTATTTGATATTTAAGACTTATTCAAGAAATAAATGAAGCTAACCAATTTTGTAAAGTTAATATAACTTAAGTATGTTAACAACAACAACAACAACAACAACAACGACGACGACGACGACGACGGCAACAACAACAACAACAACAACAGAAGCAGCAGTAGCAAGCAAAACAACTGATTAACGTCTTACTTGCTTATGTTCACAATTGAAAAATCAAAGATATCCTTAAGTAAAATATTTCAATCACAAAAAATTATTGAAATCTATGTAATTTTTACTGAATATGTCTAATTTGAATATAAGAATGAATAAACTATGTATGAGAAGCTGCGTTTCCTATTGCAGGTCAAGTAAAATTGGTACATGTAATTTTGATTTTGGCTTAAAAAATGCCAGTTTTTTTTATAACATTAATAGTGTGTACAATTGTGAACATAATAAATCTACTTTGTGTGAAGTCAAAACTTGTTTATTCTATATTTAAAAAGAGACAGTGTAGCAACTATCAGTATTTTCTAATATCAAAATTGGGCATAATATATCTTTAAACATAGTCACTACAGAAGAGATTCAATTAGAGATTGCCAAATGGGAAACCAAGATAATGGATATTTGTTTTTCAATATTAACTCTCAGATATCACTTTGATATTTTACTAATTTATGGAAACCCACTAGATGAAAAAAAAAAACAACAACAACAACAACAAAACAATATGAACGGTCTTTCTCTTTAGTTACAGGCAGCATCACGATACCGGTGGCAACTTCCGGTATAGGACACAACGTATTTTCTGTAGCAGCAACAGACACCGAAAGTGATCAGATATCGTTTTCGATCACGTGCAGTCCCGTTACACCGGCATGTCCCTTCGAGATTTTTAGCTGTAAGTTTATATAAGCAGCGCTCTCATGCAGGGAGTGTGTATAGTTTTTTCTACACTTAGTTGTTACAATCGTAACAACGCAATGTTAAACTAGTTACGTAAAACTACGAAAGACCGGTAGGGCCATTTCAACCTCATGGATTCCCGATTTCATCTTCATAAATTCACAATTTGAACTTCGTGAACTCCCGACTAATTTATCTTCGTGAATTCACAAATAAACTCCGTATATTCACGTTTTTCAACATACGGAATTCATGATTTCGCGACTTCAACTTTACGAATACACGATTTCATCTTCACGATTCTGAAATCGTTAATTCACGAAGTTGAAAATTGTGGAGTTCAAAACTTGAAATCATGATGTTGAATTCTTGAATTCATGAAGTTGAAATCGTGAATTCTGTATGTTGAAATTGTGTATTCGTGAAGATGAACCCGATATTTCAAGAAGTTTAAATGTCACCACAGGTCTTTATTATACATTTCGAGTGACTGATAGTTCTTATTTATCATAGAAAAACACGTCTTCAAACCCTTATTATTTATGAGGTATTTAAGTATATAAAAAAACATATCTTAATAAAATTTCTTTACATTTACAAATGTATTCACGTTATCTTTATCTAACATTTTTGTCAAATTTGGATGGAATTTAACAATTAAAATAACATTTCCATTTTGGAATAGCATATCTCTTCTTTTGTAAAACTGTCATGGCCTCTTAAAATAATGGACAAAAATGTCAAACCTTGTATCACCATTTTAGCTTATTCTTTAAATATATCCAAATGATACAATTGCATCGGGGTTTTTTAATCAATATTTAATTTTTTTTGAAATCCCTTTAATATGATTTTGATTTTAGGTTATTAAGAAAAGCCAAAGGAAATAACCTTTAAATGATATTTATTTTTCGATTAAGCTGGAGACATAGTGGTGAACACAGATATTTCCGGCATTGCCATTGCCGGATATGACATCACAGTTGACGTCAGCGACCCTTACGGAAATAACGGGATATCAAAATCATTGACTGTTGTATTTTCTGGTAATGATATCATTCTTTTTTTGATGTAAAACCTTTTTATTTACATCCTAATTTTCACATTATCATATTAACATTATGATATTTATTATCATTTTATTTTACATCATATTGTTTACATTATGATATCAATTACACTATTACATTTACAGTACATCATAATATTTGCATTTATATATTTTTATATTTACATCATTATTTTTTCAATATGTTATAAAATACATCATTTTATTTGCACTATAATATTTGCATTATAATATTAATTATGTCATTATTTTTACATCATGGTATTCATTACATCGTTATATTAACATGATTATATTTACCTTATTATATACAAATGTTTATTATATAATCTATAAATAGCTTTGAAATGCCTTTCCATGATTGGCTAACAAGCAACTTTTTGTAAAATATAACAGGTCAATATCAGAGTATATTAACTGTTTGTTTCCTAAAAATAGATTTTCAGAGTATATTCACCGGTTTTTCTTCTAAAAATAGATTTTCTGGAAATCCCTAAAAGACGCGAGACTTTGACGTGACGTCACGCCAATGTTGTTATCATTCTGAAGAAACGTTGAGTTGGGTGTACATAAGAGTCAAATTAGTCTTATTTTAGTTACCGTTTTCATTTTTTTTAAAAAAAGGGATTAGCTTGCCAATGGAAAGGGCCAAATAATGGAAACAGTAGACAAGTTGAAAAATAATGATTTCCGTCGTATGCAATGGCAGATGTGATAAGTCATATAAAAGCTATTTATAGGTTATATAATAAAACAGATATGTACTTTTTAGCTGTTGAATATGGTGTGATATGTACTGAAAAATTAATATTGACCTCGGCTATCGCATCGGTCAATATTAATTTTTTCAGTACATATCACATCATATTCAACAGCTAAAAAGTCCATATTTGTATAATATTGCACCTTTATATTTACACCATTATTGTTACATTTTATATTTATTAAATATTTCATCTTTATTATTACATCATCATTTTACATTACGATATTTACATAATAATAATTACGTCATGTAATTTATAACATCATTATATTTACATGATAATATTTACATAATAATAATTATTACATAATTATATTTTCATTTACCGGTAATATGTATATCATATTATTAGTTCATAGTATTTATAACAAAGAATATATTTACATTATATAAAATTTTAAGTCTTACGTGTATGTTCATACTGTTCACCGATTTAAATGCAATATTTACTCGTATATGGATACTTTTTTGTATATTGAATTGTAATAATTTATTCAGTTTTTGTCTGATGACAAAATTCATTTTAAGAATTGATAAGTTAAAGTTATACCTGTGAGCATGATGCATGGACGTTATATATAAAACTAATATCTTTTATTTACTTTCATTTCTAATAACATTATGTTTTGTTATGTTAAGGTATAAACAACCCACCGTCAATATCAAATCTAGGATCAACATTCACAATGCCTGAAAACGGTGCACTGAATGCTGCCATAGTAACGACCACGTGCACTGATGCAGACGCTGGTGACACCCTGGGATATTCAATGACGTGCACGCCGTCATCAGGGCTAACGTACTTTCAGATCGATTCCTCAAGTGCGTAAATTTTAGCAAATTACATATTCATTTATAATTTTAAACCTTCAATAATCCCATCATTTGATTGGTTGATACAAAATTTTTGGCCGTGTTTTGATTGGTTTAGACCATTTCTCAAAAGTAATTTGGTTGGTCGAGACAAAAGTGAGCTCTTTCACCATTTACACGGTCTTTGATTGGTTGAACCTACGCATTCCCTATTTACATCATAATGTTATTGGACGAATAAATCGAGCACTTACACACTTATGATTAAAAAAAGTTTTTTGAATGGAAGAGACAAATTGAATACGCTATCCTTTTTATTAAAAAAAAGCTGTCTGCTATGTCCGAACTAATTGTACATGAAGGCGGAAAACAAGGAAAGCATCAACAAGGTCACCCTTTATTGTATTCATTCCGTATCTTAACCCTACAAAACGGAAAACTAATTATCGCACAATAATACTGATCTGTTCTCGGAACATGATGATAAACATATTTTTTGTTCATTTGGGGTCGTCTGTTTGCCCGTAAACTGTATTGACATAACTTTTGGATTTAGTCTCAGTAGATACCCAATGTGAGTAAGCCACCCAACTTACTTTCGAAATGCTAGCGGAATTTCCCGAGCGACCACTTTTAAAAGAAGATTGATAATAAAACAAAAATATGCACCTTAAAGGGAGGGTATAAAGCTATAATATCTTAAATAAGATGCTTAGATGCTTACATAAAGAGACATCATCAACGTTGAAACTATCGTATGCATCTGCTTCAAATTAAATCTTTTGCAAAATTATAATCAAAGCAAGGAACATTATACCATAATATGTATTTATCTATTTAAAAAAAAACAAATTTCTTATCAGACTGGCGTTTACGTTAGTTTTACTCATACCGGAAATTTCATCTCGCATGGGGGTGCCAGATGAGTCGCGTGCTATACAATGGCACGCTTACGATGACGTAATTTTACCGTTTTGAATGAAGATGTTACTTTATATGCTGTTTTAAGAAAATAGTTACGGGTGTAATGACCTAAATTTCCATGGAAAGTAAAGAATTTAAAATATAATGGAATATGGTAAAATATGCAAGAAAAAATACCTGACACATGCTTGCGGTTCGCATCGGAATATCTGTCCCTCGGGAACCCGCCCTTAGGCGGTTACCTTGGCAGGCCTAGTTACCGCCAAATGGACGGGTCCCCCCAGAACAGATGTTCTGATCCGAACCGCAACATATGACAGATATTATTTATATGAAACATTTAACTAATTGTATTAATTATTTACACAGCCGGAGCCATATCAACTACAGGCTCGTCACTAAATTATGAATATATTGATAATGCTGGGGATACATTATTTGCGTGCACTGTGACGTGTAGCGATGGTGACGCTTCAGATACGGCAAGTATAAGTTTTGACGTCACCAATGTAAATGAACCACCAAAATTTGCACAGAATGGTTACACTATATCAGCAGACGAAGGAGCGGTAAGCTGTTTCTCTTATAAAATAACGCGATTTTCCTAGCAGAACATGTAAAGTTTATTACAGTCAAACTTTTGTTAAAGACCACCTCTAATAAAGGTCACCCTGTAAATAAATTATATTTTTAACGACCGTTCATTGATTTTATAGAATTGAATAACCTCAAATAGAGAAAACTTGTCCATAAAGACAATGCTTGGTCCCTCTTTCAGATGGCATTTTGTTCAAAGGTTATGCTACAGTAAATGTTATTACTGGTAAAGTGTGGAAACGGACAAAGTCTAGCATTACAGTCAAACCTGTGAATAATGGAAAGACCAAACATGGCTTAAATAGACAAGTGGTCTTTATTTGGTTGTTTAAATGACTCTAACGGAACATAGTTTTACATACTGATTTAATTAGTTGTTTAATACTATACCGGCATTTGTTCTCTTTTCTAGAGCGGAACAGATCTTCAAGCCTCGGGATATGTCATCATTGATGACGACAACAGCGACACTACACTATTCAGTATAGATTGCGGCACTCCTAACACTGGATATTTTTCAATAGACACCGGTTCAGGTGTTTTAAAATACGGAAGTACTTATGACGTAGATGATGGCGTACATCCGACGTCAGTGTCTTGTATTGTGACGGTGACGGACAGTGGTGGACTAACTGATACCGTGTCGTTAGATATAACTATAAGTAAATATGTCACAAATATGTATGCACTATTAAGTTGAGCGTAATCATATTAATTTTATATATTGTAATGATATGAATGAATAATCTATTTTTTAAAAGGGGAGATTTGTAATTCACTTGTCGCTCGTTCGATCCTTAGGTAATACAAAATTTCTACGTCATTTTCTTATTTCTAAATCACGCTTATACTTCTTTAACAATCTATTAGCTCTACATTATGTGCTTACTTTCATAAAGTTCTCTAAGTACTGTAACGCACTCTTATTTCAGCATCATGCTCTAACTTTTATAACATGCTCCTAGAACTTTATCATGTTCCTAGTTCTATACAATGCTCTTACTTCTAGAACTTGCTTTTAATTCTACAACATGCAGTTTGTTGTACAGCATCATGTTTGTTCTACAACATACTGTTTGATTATGTATGTTTAAACTCGTTATTACCTTTTTGTCAATATATTAATTAAACAATATGCTATTACATTTACAATTACAATTATGCCCTTTAGATTTACAAACACATGCTCTTTATTGCAATACAAATGATATACTTAGAAAACACCTATTTGCTGAATTCTTTTTTAAACTTTTAACCGAAAGTGTGACAGTTTGAAAGTAAGGTTATCTAATATCTTGTACACAGGTATTCAATAACGAAGGAGAACACATGCATTAACGGATAAAACTTCGTCATCACGCGCTGTTATAATGTGCGTGACTCACGGCACCATGTAAAAATAGCTTCTTGCAAAGAGAATCCTGGCAGTTTCATTATTAAAACATAAATTTATCGTACAGTGTTCTAGCATTTGGAAAATGTTACACAATGATTTTTCTTTTACGAAAAGCAGACTACTAATCACGGCATTACCGAATTACATGTATATTTGCGCTTAAATATCTGCAGAAGGCTTGGATGCAGCAAATCCCTCATTTTGTGGACACGTCTTCGGGTTTTCGTCAGATGTTATTGCATAAAGTTGCATTAACTCTCACTTGTTCACCATTATTTGCCGTTACAGATAACATAAACGACAACTTGCCAATATTTTCCCCGACAACCTACCAATGGTTTGTGTCTGAAGGTGCAACTGTAGGAACTTCGGTCGGAAAGGTAACGGCGACAGATGCTGATGTTGGCACGTTGGGAGATATAAGTTATAGGTAAATAAAAATCATGATAATTCTTGTTCATTGTGTGAAATTAAGGAGATATTTGTATGGAGTGTCCATCTTAATTCTTTTGATTTGACTATTTTACAAATCGATTTGTTAAAAATAACATGTTTAACCTTGAAAGCTTAGAGCTGCTTTAAACTGCTTTTGATGTCCCGTTAATTGAAGGAAAACCTATTGCATATAACATTATTTATGGAAAAAAATGTAATATTAAGTACTTTTCATCACGCAGGTAAATAAAGCAGCAAAATTTGAATGAGGATAGTAAAATTCAAATTCGTTTTTTCTTCTTTGCTTCAGTTTAGACCAGTCAGCTCTCGGGACTGCATATTTTAGCATAGATCAGACGGGCACTGTGTATGTACAAAACTCGGTTGCCCCTCTTGGTGGAGGAGCCTCTATTACTTTTGATGTCGTTGCGACGGACGGAGGCGGAAACGAAACACGCGTAACACCGTCCGTGAATACCGTGGCCACTTCAACAACAACTACAACAACAACCACTGATAGGTTGGTAATAGGATTTCTGAAAATTAAGACAATTAGACGAAAAAAGTTAATTTCAAATGATTGACGTGTCGACATCGTGCAAACATGTAAAATTTAAAATTCATTTACGGAGCATGATGTCTTACCTTTTCAAAGAAAGATTGTCTTTTTTATAAAGTTTGATCTAATTGGTAAGATTTGCGCAATTTATTTCTTAGAATGAATTTATGTGTTTGCCTTACAAACAAAATGCTAATTATTGTAAAGCTTATTTATATGTATGTGATGGAAGGGACAGTGTTAAACTTTTTTATTATTATTTGATCAATTTGGACCAAAGGGGTGATGGTATTTAAGCTGTTTGTCTCACATCTAAAGATGTGTAGGTTCGAGCCTTACTGTGTCCACGGACATGCTATTCATTAGCAACCAGGTGGTTAAGATAGATGGCTGTGTATGAGCACAGAGGCGGTAGTTTCGACCCCAACCGAAGTAACAACCATATTATCTCCTATGACACAGTACTGCTTAACGTGGTGACTCATATGACACAGTACTAGTTACCTGGTTTGAGATCTTTTCTCCTTTGACACAGTACTGATTGCCTGGGTAACTTCGATGGTTGTCTTTTGACACAGTACTTGTTACTTAGGTCACTTCGATGGTTACTCCTAAAACACAGAAATAGTTACATGGGTAACTTCGATGTTTACTCCTATCAGAAAAAACTGGTTACCTGCACAATCCGATGTTTTCTCCTATGACACAGTACTGGTTACCTGTGTCACTTCAATGTTTTCTCCTATGACAAAGTACTGGTTACCTGTTTCACTTTGATGTTTTCTCCTATGACACAGTACTGGTTACCTGTGTCACTTCAATGTTTTCTCCTATGACATAGTACTGGTTACCTGTTTCACTTTGATGTTTTCTCCTATGACACAGTTCTGGTTACCTGTGTCACTTCGATAATTTCTCCTATGACATAGTACTGGTTACCTGTTTCATTTTGATGTTTTATCCTATGGCATAATACTGGTTACCTGTTTCACTTCGATGTTTTCTCCTATGACACAGTACTGGTTACTTGTTTTACTTCGATGTTTTCTCCTATGACATAGTACTGGTAACCTGTTTCACTTCAATGTTCTCTCCTATGACATAGTACTGGTTACCTGTTCACTTCAATGTTTTCTCCTATGACATAGTACTGGTAACCTGTTTCACTTCAATGTTTTCTCCTATGACACAGTACTGGTTACCTATGTCACTTCAATGTTTTCTCCTATGACACAGTACTGGTTACCTGTGTCACTTCGATGTTTTCTCCTATGACATAGTACTGGTTACCTGTTTCACTTCGATGTTTTCTCCTCTGACATAGTACTGGTTACCTGTTTCACTTCGATGTTTTATCATATGGCATCACTTCGCTGTTTTCTCCTATGACACAGTACTGGTTACCTGTGTCACTTCGATGTTTTCTTTTATGACATATTACTGGTTACCTGTTTCACTTCAATGTTTTCTCCTATGACATAGTACTGGTTACCTGTTTCACTTTGATGTTTTCTCCTATGAAATAGTACCGGTAACCTGTTTCACTTCGATGTTTTATCATATGGCATCACTTCGATGTTTTCTCCTATGACATAGTACTGGTTACCTGTGTCACTACGATGTTTTCTCCTATGATATATTACTGGTTACCTGTTTCACTTCGATGTTTTATCATATGGCATCACTTCGATGTTTTCTTCTATGACATAGTACTGGTTACCTGTGTCACTACGATGTTTTCTCCTATGACATATTACTGGTTACCTGTTTCACTTCGATGTTTTATCATATGGCATCACTTTGATGTTTTCTCCTATGACATAGTACTGGTTACCTGTTTCACTTCAATGTTTTCTCCTATGACAAAGTACTAGTTACCTGTTTCACTTCAATGTTTTCTCCTATGACACAGTACTGGTTACCTATGTCACTTCAATGTTTTCTCCTATGACACAGTACTGGTTACCTGTTTCACTTCGATGTTTTCTCCTATGACACAGTACTGGTTACCTGTTTCACTTCGATGTTTTCTCCTATGACACAGTACGGGTTACCTGTTCACTTCGATGTTTTCTCCTATGACATAGTAATGGTTACCTGTTTTACTTCGATGTTTTATCATATGGCATCACTTCGCTGTTTTCTCCTATGACACAGTACTGGTTACCTGTGTCATTTCGATGTTTTCTCCTATGACATAGTACTGGTTATCTGTTTCACTTCGATGTTTTCTCCTATGACATAGTACTGGTTACCTGGTTCACTTCGATGTTTTATCATATGGCATCACTTCGATGTGTTCTCCTATAACACAGTACTGGTTACCTGTGTCACTTCGATGTTTTCTCCTATGACATATTACTGATTACCTATGTCACTTCAATGTTTTCTTCTATGACATAGTACTGGTTACCTGTTTCACTTTGATGTTTTCTTCTATGGCATAGTACTGTTTAACTGTTTTACTTCGATATTTTATTACATGACATCACTTCGATGTTTTCTCCTTTGACATAGTACTGGTTACCTGTTTCACTTTGATGTTTTCTTCTATGGCATAGTACTGGTTACCTGTTTTACTTCGATGTTTTATCATATGACATCACTTCGATGTTTTCTCCTATGACATAGTACTGGTTACCTGTGTCACTTCGATGTTTTCTCCTATGACATATTACTGGTTACCTGTTTCACTTCGATGTTTTATCATATGGCATCACTTCGATGTTTTCTCCTATGACATAGTACTGGTTACCTGTGTCACTTCGATGTTTTCTCCTATGACACAGTACTGGTTACCTGTGTCACTCAATGTTTTCTCCTGTGACACAGTACTGGTTACCTGTTTCACTTCGATGTTTTTTTCACCTATGACACAGTACTGGTTATCTGTTTCACTTCGATGTTTTCTCGTATGACACAGTACTGGTTATCTGTTTCACTTCGATGTTTTCTCCTATGACACAGTACTGGTTACTTGTTCACTTCGATGTTTTCTCCTATGGCATAGTACTGGTTACCTGTTTTACTTCGATGTTTTATCATATGACATCACTTCGATGTTTTCTCCTATGACATAGTACTGGTTACCTGTGTCACTTCGATGTTTTCTCCTATGACATAGTACTGGTTACCTGTTTCACTTCAATGTTTTCTCCTATGACACAGTACTGGTTACCTGTTTCACTTCGATGTTTTCTCCTATGACACAGTACTGGTTATCTGTTTCACTTCGATGTTTTCTCGTATGACACAGTACTGGTTATCTGTTTCACTTCGATGTTTTCTCCTATGACATAGTACTGGTTACCTGTGTCACTTCGATGTTTTCTCCTATGACACAGTTCTGTTTATCTGTTTCACTTTGATGTTTTCTCCTATGACATAGTACTGGTTACCTGTTTCACTTCGATGTATTCTCCTATGACATAGTACTGGTTACCTGTTTCACTTTGATGTTTTCTCCTATGACATAGTACTGGTTACCTGTTTCTCTTCAATGTTTTCTCCTATGATAGTACTGGTTACCTGTTTCACTTTGATGTTTTCTCTTATGTCATAATGCTGGTTACCTGTGTCACTTCGATGTTTTCTCCTATGACATAGTACCTGTTACCTGTTTCACTTTGATGTTTTCTCCTATGACATAGTACTGGTTACCTGTTTCACTTCGATGATTTCTCCTATGACAAAGTACTGGTTACCTGTTTCAGTTTGATGTTTTATCCTATGGCATAATACTGGTTACCTGTTTCACTTCAATGTTTTCTCCTATGGCATAATACTGGTTACGTTTTTCACTTCGATGTTTTCTCCTATGACATAGTATTGGTTACCTGTTTCACTTTGATGTTTTATCCTATGGCATAATACTGGTTACCTGTGTCACTTCGATGTTTTCTCCTATGAAACAGGACTAGTTACCTGGGTCATTGAGATCTTTTCTCCGTTGATTTAGAACTGATTACCTGGGTAACTAAAATGTTGACTCCTATGACATAGTACTGGTTAACAGAGTCATCTCAAACCTTTCTTCTATGACACAGTACTGGTTATATGTACTTAGGTCACCTCGATGTTTTCTTCTATTACACAGTACTGGTAACTTAGGTCACCTCGATGTTTTTTCCTATTACACAGTACTGGTAACTTAGGTCACCTCGATGTTTTCTTCTATTACACAGTACTGTTAACTTAGGTCACCTCGATGTTTTCTTCTATTACACAGTACTGGTAACTTAGGTCACCTCGATGTTTTTTTCTATGACACAGTACTGGTTATATGTACTTAGGTCACCTCGATGCTTTCTTCTATTACACATCACTGGTTACTTAGGTCACCTCGATGTTTTCTTCTATTACACAGTACTGGTAACTTAGGTCACCTCGATGTTTTTTCCTATGACAAAGTACTGACTACCTGTGTCACTTTTATGTTTCCTCTTACGACGCAGTAGTGGTTACCTGGGTCACCTCAATGTGTTCTCTTATGACAAAGTAGTAGTTTATTCTAGAAAGTGGGCTCAGCAGTAGTGCAAGTATGCTTTAATATTTTATCACTACTGTGCTATACCACAAACTAGTGTTTTCTTTTATTTTAGGTTTAAAACATTTTTCGAAGATGAGCGGAACATTGCGTGGCTAACTGCTTGTTTTATCATTGTCTTGATTACTTTAATTTTAATCACCTGGATGTGTTGTAAATACTTCGCCGAAAGTTATGCAAAGAGACCGACAGGAAAACAGTTCAACTTTAAATGGTATAACTATTTCGTTTTTTTTATTTTGTTTCATTTCGAACGCATTTATCAAAAAAAAACAAAACGTGTATATTCAAGTTACGCTATTCGTGTAGTGCGGCAATAACAAACTATAAAAAATGACCCCTCTCCCCCAAAACCCCACTAAACAAAACATAACACACACATAAAAACAACAACAACAACAACAACAACAAAACACAAAATAAACAACAACAACAACAAAACCTCACAAAAAAACAAAGAAAAAACAAAATGTAAAAAAGCAACAAAACAACAACAAAAACCAACGACAAACAACAAAAACAACAACAAATAAACAAACAAAACACACAACCAACAAAACAACAGGACGATAGATCAACAATTTATCGACACGTTAAGCTGTGAATATAATTATTTCTTGCTTTCAATATTTCGCCATGATACAGATTTATTTGGGGAGCCTTTTGCTACTTTTGTGTTTATATTATGATAATATTATTTTATAAATGAGTAAAAAGAGCAATAAATTATGTTTAGATAAAACAAATATTTGGGGTATTTAATTCTAGCATCGAATTCCATGGATATGCGTACAATTGTATGTAACTTTTATTTTCAAATGACTCATGTGTCTGGTGTTTAGTGGTTTCAAATGAGATTTAATTATAACACAATAAACTTCTGAATTGATTTTAACTTGTTTAATAAAATACGATATATGCTTGAAGATGTTTTGATTCGAGTATTATTACAAACTCTACATAGGGGTACTGGATTAAGTTGTCATTCTTGAGTCTATGAAAACGTGTGTCTTTTAACGTCGTAGCCTTTATCAATTTAAAAAATGTAAAAAACATGTTGAAGGCAAAGATCACATGTTACTTAAAAGAAGCTTGTGCAAGAATAAAAAAAAAACAACAAAAAAAACAAAAACAGAAAAAACAGAGAAAAACAACAACAACACCAACCACAACCCCCCCCCCCCCCCCAAAAAAAAAACAAACAAACAAAAACCAACTTAAAGGGACTCCACTGAGGTTTTTTGACATGACGGGACTGGAAATAATTTTTTGAGATTATTACTCCATTTGATGTAGATCTATACTAATAACTTATGTGCAAAATTTCAGATCATTAGCTCGCTCCGTTTTTCCAGAATAATTATTATAATAGTGAAAAATGACCCAAAATTGAAAAGCGTTTAAACGCTTTTCACTCAAATTGGACTGAGAATAGCACAAACATATGATTTTCAATGTATTTCTTGTGTATTTCCTAGTTATATCTTATTTATATTTCTGTTTAAAGTGCTCATGTTTATCTATGTGAAAATTAAAGTGTTATTTTTTAGGCTTATAAACCTCAGTGGAGTTCCTTTAAAGATCCTGTAACACAATTTTTTATGGTTTTATATCATAAATATGATGCTCAAATTAAGAGTAATCAATTTTGTAAGTTCCAAAAAGCATCATTTATAAAATTATTACCGAATTTAACATTATTTGTAAGTAAAGGGAGGTAATAAACAATTATTTTCTATAATGTCTTAATCAAATTTGTCAATAAGAAAACAATGCATATATTTTAATGATAACATATAATATGTACAAATATTTGCAGTACATATTTAACATATTCTTCGATGTTTACAAATTGTTTTATATGTATTATTAGATACATATATATAATTTCACTGCAGTGTGGTATACAACCTCAATTACAACATACAGGATCTTTAAACTTACTTCATATGCAACATTATTTCTCTAAACATTCCCTGGTTATTGAAATTTCGGCATAAATACAAAGAGTGGGCGTGACACTATAATGATAATAGACAATTAATATTTTAATGCTATATGTAAAAAAAGAATAAATTTTAAGTATTGAAAAGGTGAAGTCCTTTTGTTTGCATTAATTTAACACTTATTTCTATCTTTGATGTTTTAGTTGTAAATTTTGGCGGGTAACTGATCCCCCAGCAAGAATAAGAGAACCAGTACCGGAACCGGAAGTTGTCACATTTGAAGAACCTCCAGGTATACCTTTTTATCACATGTAAAATTTACTAATTTTATAGACGGTCAAGAATGGCCAGAAATCTCTGTGCTCGTGGTTGCGAAACGGACACATAAATGAAATTTCATAGGACCACATCGTGATGTTCACGTGTCCCTCTATTTTTGTCAAAGATCAGTAAATTAAATGTTTTGTCTTTCCGCAAATTTGAATTGAAGTCAATGTTGTTTTTTTTTTGCATTTGTTATCAATAATTTTCTGAAATCAAATCTTAATGAAGTTATAGATTTTAAAAGCAGTAGCCGGACGAAGTTAAAACTTTGTCTCGCAACCATACGCTCGTGTGTTTCGGGCCTTCTTTTCTAACTTTAAGTAAGCGATTATTTCTTTTAAATACTGATGCCAGTGCCGTTGAGTCTGTAGGTTAGTTATTTAAAGAGTTAATAGCCTTTGTTACAGTTATTGAAATATATAGGTTTAGAATCAAGTTATACGTTTGTGTCAACAATATTGATGTACATTGTAGACGCGATTTCGAGACAGGGAGTTATGGTGTTATACGAGTATGTTTTGGTCCATTTATGGTATGTGAGAAGTTAGCAGTTAACAGTGAGCTAAGCAAAAATGCATTACGATTTATATAGGGAAATCAATGATCTGCTGTTATGCTCAGCTGGGTAAGCAATCTAGCACAGCATTCCAAAATAAAGTGTAGAAATGCTTTGCTGGTATGCTCAGCTGGGTAAGCAATCTAGCAGGCCATTACTAAATATAGTGTAAAAATGCTCTGCTGGTATGCTCAGCTGGCTAGGCAATCTAGCGGGGCGTTCCAAAATATAGCGTAAAAATGCTCTGCTGGTATGCTCAGCTGGCAAGGCAATCTAGCAGGGGCATTCCTAAATTATAGTGTAAAAAAAACTCTGCTGTTATACTCAGCTGGCTAAGCAATCTAGCGGGGCATTCCAAAATATAGTGTAAAAAGCTCTGCTGTTATGCTCAGCTGGCTAAGCAATCTAGCGGGGCATTCCAAAATATAGTGTAAAAATGCTCTGCTGCTGTTATGCCTCAGCTGGCTAAGCAATCTAGCGGGGCATTCCAAAATATAGTGTTAAAAATGCTCTGCTGTTATGCTTAGCAGGCTAAGCAATCTATCGGACATTTCAAAATATAGTGTAAAAATGCTCTGCTGTTATGCTCAGCTTTGTAAGCAATCTAGCGGGGCATTCCAAAATATAGTGTAAACATGATCTGCTCGTATGCTCAGCTGGCTAGGCAATCTAGCAGGGCATTCCTAAATATAGTGTAAAAATGCTTAGCTGTTATGCTCAGCTGGCTAAAAAATCTAGCGGGACATTCCAAAATATAGAGTAAAAATGCTCTGCTGAATTGCTCAGCTGGCTAGGCAACCTAGAAGGGCATTCCTAAGTATAGTGTTAAAAATGCTCAGCTGGCTAAGCAATCCAGCAGAGCATTCCTAAATATAGTGTAAAAATGCTCTGCTGGCAATCTCAGCTGGCTAAGCAATCTAGCAGAGCGTTCCGAAATATAGTGCGAAAAATGCTCTGCTGGTATGCTCAGCTAGCTAAGCAGTCTAGCAGGACATTCCTAAATATAGTGTTAAAAATGCTCAGCTGGCTAGGCAATCCAGCAAAGCATTCTGAAAATTAGTGTAAAAATGTTCTGCCGGAATGCTGAGCTCTCTAGGCAAACTAGCAGGGCATTCTTAAATAAAGTATAAATTTCGTTGGTCTGCAACTGATTATTTGGCACTCGTAGACTTTCTGAAATATTTAGTGCCAATGCAGATAATGACATTTTTGACTTCTACGGGACCCTCAAGTGTCTATTTCTTTGGTCTCCGACTGATTTTTGGACGATCGCAGACTTTCAGGAATTTTTGGTGTTAATGCAGATAATGACATTTGTGAATTTATTGGACCATCCAGAGTCCATTTCGTTGGTCTGCGTTGGTCTGCGAATGTTTCTGGAACACTCGCAGACTTTCAGAAATTTTCGGTGCCAATTTTCCTGACTCTATTTCGTTGGTCTGCGACTGATTCTGAGTCACTCGCAGACTTTCAGGAATTTTAGTGTCAATGCAGAAAATGATATTTCTGACTTATTGGGACCTTTCTGAATCCATTTTTTTGTCTGCGACTGATTCTGAGGCACTCACAGACTTTCAGGAATCTTGGATGTCAAGGCAGATAATGACATTTTTTTTACTTCTAGGGACCATCCAGGGTCCATTTTTTTGGTCTGCGACTTAATCTTTGACAGTCACAGACTTTCAGGAATTGTTAGTGCCAATAGAGATAATTACATTTTATGACATTTTTGACAATCCAGAGTATTTTTCGTTGGTCTGCGACTGATTATAGGGCATTTGCAGACTTTCAGGAATTTTTGATGCTAATGCAGATAATGACATTTTAGGGTTAAAATGCTCTGCTTATGACTAAGGGGTCCTTTAAAGTAAAAAAGTCATGATCTGCAATGGCACTAAACATCCTGAAAGTCTGCGAGTCTCAAGGAATCAGTCGCAGACATAAGAAATGTACTCTGGCGGTTCCCTAAAAGTCAGAAATGTCATTATCTCCATTGGCATCAAAATTCCTGAAAGTCTGCAAGTGACCCAAAATCAGTCGCAGACCAGCGAAATGAACTCTGGGGGGTCGCTAGAAGTCAAAAATGTCATTATCTCCATTGGCACCAGAGATTCCTGAAAGTCTGCGAATGTCCCAGATTCAGTCGCAGACCATAAAAATGGACTCTGGCGGGTCCCTAGAAGTAAAAATTGCCATCATCTCTATTGGCACCAAACTTTCCTGAAAGTCTGCGAGTATCCAACAATACACTGCAGGCCAATGAAATGGACTCTTACAGGTCCCTAGAAGTCAAAAATATGAATATTTCCATTGGCACCAACCATTCCTGAAAGTCTGCGAGTTTCCAATAATCAATTGCAGACGACCAAAAAGGACTCTTGAGGGTCCCTAGAAGTCTTAATTGTCAATATCAGCATTTGAAACAAAATTCCTGAAAGTCTGCGAGTGTCCTACAAAAAGTCGCAGGACAATGAAATAGTCTCTTAAAGGTCCTTAGAAGTCAAAAATATCATTATTTCTATTTGCAACGAAAATTCCTGGAAGTCTGCGAGTGCCTCAGAATTGCCTAGAAGTCGAAAATGTCAATAAAACTTTGGCAACTATAAATCCTGGAACTCAGAATCAGTCTGCCAACTGAGCATTCCACCAGAGCATTTTTTAACTATATTTCGGAATGCCTTGCTAGATTGCCTAGCCAGCTTAGCATTCCACCAGAGCATTTTTACACCATATTTAGTAATGCCCTGCTAGATTGCCTAGCCAGCTGAGCATTCCACCAGAGCATTTTTTCACTATATTAAGGAATGCTCTGCTATAGTGCCTAGCCAGCTGAGCATTCCTGCAGAGCATTTTAACACTTTATTTAGTAATGCCCTCTAGATTGCCTAGCCAGCTTAGCATTCCAGCAGAGCATTTTTACACTATATTTCGTAATGCTCTGCTTGATTGCCTAGCAGCTTAGCATTCCACCAGAGCATTTTTACACTATAGTTAGTAATGCCCTGCTAGATTGCCTAGCCAGCTTAGCATTCAAGCAGAGCATTTTTACACTATATTTAGTAATGCCCTGCTAGATTGCCTAGCCAGCTTAGCATTTCAGAAAAGCATTTGTTCAATATATTTAGTAATGCTCTTTTAGATTGCCTAGCCAGCTTAGCCTTCCAGCAGAGCATTTTTAAACTGTAATTAGTAATGTCCTGCTAGATTGCCTACCCAGCTTAGCATTCCAGCAGAGCATTTTTACACTATATTTAGTAATGCTCTGCTAGATTGCCTACCCAGCTTAGCATTCCAGCAGAGCATTTTTACACTATATTTAGTAATGCCCTGCTAGATTGCAAAGCCAGCTTAGCATTCCAGAATAGCATTTGTACACTATATTTAGTAATGTCCTGCTAGATTGCCTAGCCAGCTTAGCATTCCAGAAAAGCATTTGTTCAATATATTTAGTAATGCTCTGCTAGATTGCCTAGCCAGCTTAGCGTTCCAGCGGAGCATTTTTACACTGTATTTAGTAATGTCCTGCTAGATTGCCTACCCAGCTTAGCATTCCAGCAGAGCATTTTTACACTGTATTTAGTAATGTCCTGCTAGATTGCCTACCCAGCTTAGCATTCCAGCAGAGCATTTTTCACTATATTTAGGAATGCCCTGCTAGATTGCATAGCCAGCTTAGCATTCCAGCAGAGCATTTTTACACTATATTTAGTAATGCCCTGCTAGATTGCCTAGCCAGCTTAGCATTCCAGAATAGCATTTGTACACTATATTTAGTAATGTCCTGCTAGATTGCCTAGCCAGCTTAGCATTCCAGCAGAGCATTTTTACACTATATTTAATAATGCCCTGCTAGATTGCCTAGCCAGCTTAGCTAGCCAGCTGAGCATTCCAGCAGAGCATTTTAACACTATATTTAGTAATGCACTGCTAGATTGCCTAGCCAGCTGAGCGTTCCAGCAGAGCATTTTTTCACTAAAGCTTGGAATGCTCTGCTAGATTGCCAAGACAGCTGAGTATTGCAGCAGAGCATTTTTACACTATATTTAGGAATGCCCTGCTAGATGCCCAAAAACAGCTGAGCATTATAGCAGATCATTACCTTCCCTATATAAATTGAAATGCCTTTTTGCTTAGCTCACAGTTCACTGCTAACTTCTCACATACCCATTTATGTGCTGTATATGTGTGTGTGTATATATACTTGTACATGTATATAGATTCTGAAAGTTGATGTATTTTAAAGATAAATGCCATTTTGTTATATTTTCATTTCTTTTACTTTTCAAAATATTATCCAATATTAAAATAAAAGGATAACATGTTTATCATAATAACTGCCTATCTTCGGACACGAACAACGGGGAAGTGTTTATAAATGGCATTATCTTATTCAGTTTGATAAATCGCAACTTTTTTCAAGTTTAAAGATAATTCATTTATTGACCTTTTTTTGGATATTACACTAGATGTTATACATTTTTCTCTTAGAACTTTCTTAATAAACGCAATAATTCATGTGTTCATTTTTCTTTTCTTTCCAGTAATTATCAACAGTAAGTATTTATTATATCATTTTCAATACTGATAAAGGGGCTTCAATAACTTTTTTTTCACATTACAGGACTGGAAATATTTTCCCGAAGAGTTATGTACTATTTAATGAAGGTTAAAACTAATAACTTGTGTGCAAATTTGAAATCATTCCTTCGATCTGTTTTTGTTTTTCAGAATCATCATTTTTTTTTAACAAAATGTCCCAAGAACAGCCCTCCTCCCCCCAAAATAAAACATTCGTTTTCTTATTTGTTTGTCATTATTGTTATATATTGTTGTTTTGTTTTAATTGTATACTGTAATACATTTTGATAACTATGAGTTTATTTCACAACAAGATGATCTAATGTACTTATATATATACATATAATGCCCATATTTAGTGCAAAGAGACTTTCGTTCGAATCACAAATCAAGTGTTAATCTTAGTCAAAGCTTTAAAAAAAGTTCTAGACTTACATATCCATAAAGCGATAAATTTCGACAAAGAAACGTCTATAAGAAATCAATGTCAGTTTTTATAAAATGTTATCAATAAAATCTTCATTTACTGTCTTCTAAAATATTGAATATAATCCTACAATACTGCAGTTGAATGATTACATTGTTTTATTAAGTGTTCAACTAATTTATTTCCAGAACCAAAGCCGGAACCTGAACCTTTTGAATTTTGGACTTCAAGTGCCAAACAATAAATCAACTGTAACAGATGTGAAGGAAAAGGAAAAAGACTTAATAAAGGAAAAAATAACACTTATGTCAATATGTTCAAGCACTGTTTCTTTACGTGCCGAATATTCTGTGATGTCCGTATGATTCCGTTTGATCCGCTAGTCTGTTAGTATTTCAAACTTTGATTTTGCATCTTGAAATTTTTTTCAGGACTGACATGTATTTGTGCGTTTGAATTGTTTCATTAGTTACCAAATGCACCCAGAGTTATTGACCCTGATTTGTAACTTACAAATGCAATCAGATTTGTAGCCCCTGATTTTTTTCTATTTTTAGCTGTAGATCAGTTTTATCTTTGTCATAACGTTCACAGAATAAAATAAAACTATTTTGTGTCTGTGATAAATCATGGCTTACAGTGTGTAATAACCTTGAGCGCGAAACAAACTTGCTTATCTTTTTCATAAAAATAAATGACTTCACCATCTTGTAAATGCTATATATGATTTAACGGACTTGATATAATCATTACTTATACATAATATGGAATCAAATTAAATGACAGTTTATCTATTTCTGTTTATTTTCTTTAAGTTATTAAATGCTTCTTATTTACAGGGCTTTAAACACATCAAATGGAAATATTACGGTTCCTCTTTGTGTGGATACTTAAATGCATTATTTGTTCCTTATTAAACAAAAAAAGAACCGAAAGTGTGTATGCATGTGTTAGGCTTCAAAATAATCGTTAACGTTCTATATTCAGACAATCATGTGAGTAAACATTAGACATGTGACGTAACCATCAATAATGCGACGCGCTGAAAATAAGTACGGAAACAAATCAGGCGCAATTTAGCTTGATATCTGGTACGGTAGCATCGGTTTGTTCTGTTTGTGTTAGAATCGAAATAAAATATCCAAATCGGTGCTTTTATTGCTTGATAAAATCACTGTTTGTCGTTCGGATGCGCATCATTATATCACTCGGGTTACGCCCTCGTGATATCATTCCTCGCATTCGAACTTCAAAGAGTGATTTTATGTAGCTTAGGATATATTAATGCTTAATAAAGACATAATCATTAATCTTTTTCAAGATTTTTAAGTTTATATGCATGTATAAATTTGAATATTCATGCAGAATAATACAATCGTAAAACTTGGGGTAGGTGTGGGTTTGAGTAAGGGGCTGTTGAATAATATCTTATTTTAGGTTATGATTTTCCTCTTAAGGTATTATTTACCCTCTAAGAAATGAAAGCACAAAAACGAAGTTCAGTATAACACAATATATATTTAGTTAAAAAATACAAAACATACTTCACTGAAATATAATTAGGAAAAAATCAAAACAAAATAAATACAAAATCAAAACAACATCAAAGCACTGATGGCATTGTTATATGCGTATAAACGCGAACCTCTTTGTCAGAGGAGATTTTATAAATTAATATTCCTCCACAGTTGATTTATTTGATTTTAGATTTGATTGATTAAAAAGAAAAAAGAAATCAATAATTTTCAATAGCCTTGTTTATGAAAAATGGAAACACCACTATCATCCAATGACAAGTGACGTAATTTACGTGCAGGATTACATAAATATTGACTCGTGAGCCATTGAATATTATGTGATATTCAGCGGTTATGTTAATAATATAACTTAAATGATAACACTTGTTGATATAAGAAACCTTTTCGTAAAGGCAACGTTAACATCCTTCTGTTTAAATAGATATTAAAGCATTGAAATGTTCAAAATACCTTTATTATAGACGTGCCAGGGCTAGTTATATGTCTTTAAGACAGTACACATTTCTATGATTCTTGTAAATTAATACAAGTACACAGTCTCATAATTATGAAATTTCGTATTTAAAACTCAAGCTGTTAATATAAAGATGCATAACTTAGTGTTAATGAAGAAACACATTTCTATGATTCTTGTGAATTAATACAAGTACAATGTCTCATAATTATGAAATTTCGTATTTAAAACTCAAGCTGTTAATATAAAGATGCATAACTTAGTGTTAATAAAAAAACAGATGAAGTTAAAAATGTTCACTGCGTAAAAAATGTTCTTTAATTTTACCGCGGCCAATTTGCAAAGAAATATACTCGTGCAAACGTTTTTTGTTGTAAAAATTGACGTGGGGGTATATAGGGACACATGCATTCAACGGTTTCGCTAACGCTGCGCTATAAAACGTAATTTAAATATTAAGTTATGTAACTGGCGGTGTAACTCTTTTCTTTAATGTTATGATTTTTTTTCATTGAGAAATATGCAATAAAGAACAAAACGTAATAAATTAAATACATTTTATGCGCATGCGTGTAGAAATATATTGTTATTTGCAGTTTCTGCGCACTTCGAAACTTCACGCTCTATACCACATCGTATTCAAGTTTTTAAGCCAATCAAACTTCGAGAAGTTAATATGAATTATTTACGTCATGACTGGAAGATTTATCTTTTACGCAAATATTAATATCATTATTAACCGGACACCCTTTGTATGATTATGTTTATAAATGATCGGTACATTACATCATATGCAATTACATCACATCAAAAACTAAACAATTTTTTCAAACATAGATGCATAAATAGAGGGAAATTTTCATCTTAAGTAACAATAACACCAATAAATTCTTACATGTTTTAAGTACAATAACCCCCTTTACTTTCACAATTGGGTAAAAATTTTAAACAAAGCCCCAATGCAGCATAATATATTTTTTAGAAATATAGATTGAACACTCAATTATTAGCAATGCATTTCTGGTACAGGAACAAAAAAAACACAAAAAACACACTAATTCATAATAATAACTGTCAATCAGTTTAAAAAAACAAACACAGAATAGTGAACATTACAATTGATCCAAAAACCGTAAATCTTCAGTCAGAATATCTTTTGTTATTTTCCTAAAATGAATAAATGTTGACTTAATGATGGTCATGTCCATTTAAAGTATTCATACATGTTTGTGTTTATCAATTTTTTATGATAATCAATGTAACCAGATGTTAAATCATTTACAATTTTACTTAATATAACAACATCACAAAAAGATCAAACAGCTCAATATATGTTAAACTTCTTTCAAGATAACTATATGTAAACAACATACAATTTATTTCATTTTTAAGATAAATAAAACAATACATGCCAAAAAAATTAATAACGTTCTTTTTCTTATTTAATGATAATAATAATTCCACTTGACAAGAAAATAACAAAAAACACAATACGAGACCACAACACTTGAAGGATAAAGTAATAAATCCACATTTAAATTAAAAATATGTTAAAGTATAAAAAACAACAACAAAAATGTTACAATATAAAAAAAATCGACCCTTACATTTCTAATATTCAGTAACATATTCTATCATTTCATTTCTACGAGTCAAGTAAAACAATCTCTGATAACTTTTTTCTTAAAAATAGAAAAACAAAAACAAAGTATAACTATAACTTTTAACAATATTAATTTTTCTTCAAGTGATTGATCATCTTTTTTACTACTACAGAACGTGAAAGAAGAGTTCCCTTCAGAGTTTTAACAAACAAAGCAAGGCAATTATAGAGTTGTTTCCATTATATCTCCTTTGAAATACAATGCAAGGGAAAATTGTTATCTTACCTAATACCAGTAAGCGGTATACGATCCTAAACGCTACAAGAAACAATTTTCCAGTAAGACTTACATTAACCAGACGTAAATTAAGTAATGGATACCTATGTTTGACAAAAAGTGAAGAATTAATATACCATTTTCCACGAAGTCTTGAAACGGAGTATTTGACAAATTTTTGACAAGTCCGATTTTAAACCGTTCCATCATAAGTGTTCATAAGTCCAGTTTTATATGCTCTGACACAAAAAGAACTTAAAGTCCCGTAGAAGGCATTTCATGATTAGTTTCATGATTAGTTGTCTTCAAGTTAGTAAAAACAAATATTTCATTTATTTTCTACAATTCCTGTTAGGAGATGGTCCGCCACCATTTTCGTTTTAAGTTCATTAAAAAATGAACAATACGGTTTAATCAAGCTCTTTGATGCTCTTGCTACACTCTTTCATCAACAGTCCAAACTGGTACATGTCCTCTGATTTCTCTTTGTTGTGTTTTAGTACTTGGGGGAGTTGGTTGAAATAGGCTTTTCTTACCATCTGTAATAAAACGACGATGGAAGTAGAAACTTAACAATGTAATCAACAGGACAATGCTTTCGTTAGGTTTCTCTCCCTAAACATAAGGAAATAAAAAAAACTAATTTTCAAATAAAATAGAGAAAAGAATTATTAACCAATGTCCAAAATATTAACTAAAATCGTTTTTTGTCGATGTAATTAAACCGTTTTATCACCACATGCATAATGACCAGAATTTGAAACTTCTTACGATAATGTCATGTCAGGCCATTATTTTATATTGAGACTGATACAATATGATAAATAATATTATACTGTCTGGTCAAAACTTGTAAGTTATTTATGATCCATAAAATGGAAGAAAGAAAAGAAAATTAAAATATGATGATAAATTTGCCAAATATAATTTGCGCCTGAAAAAACAAACTTATTATTTCGATTAGTTTCGGAAATAAGGTCAAGGCATTCGAAATAAGCACCAAAGCATCAAGTATATGTATAATAATCGTATTGGTCTCCAAGGTATTCCAGATTCAGCCAAAATGTTCCTACCTATTTAGATATTATCATCTTCTAATTATTCTTAAATTATGAAGTAAAATGGGTAATCGATGTCATAGTTATAATCTGGTGTATATTTATATAGTTTTAATTGCCTTGACATTATTTTTGAAGCTTGTGTTAACTTATCTACATAAAATTGATTTTTATTTATTAGCAAGAAGAGTGTTTATCAGTCTAAGTTGATGCGTACTTTTCATTTTAACTATTCTTTATTATTTTGAACACAATTTTACGTAGAGGTTTCTTAAGGTCATTATAATAAAGTTTTAAACATTACTATTAGCTGGTTAGTTACTAAGGTTAACTATTGCACTTAATGAATTAGCTACATGTAACATTTTATTGTGTTCCTCATAATGTCTTTTTTAGTTTTAAACATTAATATTTGCAATTTTAACATGTATATGAATACTTAGGTTAGCTTTTACACTAAATGAATAAGCTACGTGTTACAATTTTTCTCTCATAATGCCCTTTTAGTAGTGTCTGTTTATATAATTGTGTGAAATAAGCGATTTATGGCCTCAATGCTATAGGTGTTACGGTTACTTTATACATGTTTAACAAAAAACGCATGACAACATACGATTTTATTCGGTAACAATCACACACATCATAAATGATAATGATTTACCAATCTATGAATTTTTAATCTACAGGATAAAAGAAAGTAATGAAACTTTACCGCCAGATAATACCAGTCCAGCTTGCACGACCGTGCAATCTGACCAATCTCTATATTGTTGTAAGCAAAACCTTTGCCATTTGTTATTCAGAATCTTCACGCTTAGAAAAAACAGTTACCAAACATTAAAGCTAGAAATGGCTAGATTAAAG